TAACAGTCCTTAGGAGGAAAGTGCGAGTTTTTCGTATTGCTCTCGGGCCGACTGGACTGTATAATAGTCCACCGGTTTCCGAAATCAGTTTCAAAGATTTGATCATCGATCTCATGAAGAGTACAAGTCATAGCAGCGACACGTGTCGTCACAAGTCACTTGGGAAGTACGCACGTGGGCGCACCTCTCAGTGACCAGGTGACGGGGACGTACTGAACAAGACATCGTTGCGGAGACCTCCCGAGCGTTACAATTTTACAGATTATTTGGGGGATATGGTTCACTTTTTCGGCAAACGCCGATTGTTGTCGGGTTGGGTGATTCCTTCTAAAACATACTGCGTCGAATTAAATGCCATTACCTGAAGGGAGTTTTAATTTAATAGAAAAAGCTGATTTTGTGGGAGACGCGCTGACTGAAACGCCATCTAGCGGCAGTCAATCGCGGGCTTCGCGTCGGGGTGGCCGAGGTTAAAGAAAGGAGGTGATTGGTGTGGGGTGGTGTGGCGTCAGTGTAGTAGTAGTCCGAACCCACGTCTCCTTCCACGACGCTGTGGCAGTCACGAATTTGTGGGAAATTTGCAGCCGCCGCAAGGAGATTTGCAGGCAGTGGGATGCGCAAGTACACTTTTCTGCCCACGGCCACGGGATTCCCTCGTCGGGCTGGGGATATTCGCAGACGGTGGGTGCCGAACGGACCCTTTCTAGCCCACGTCGGGAAATTTGCAGTCAATGAAGTCAGTAAATTCACTTGCGTGGGCAGGAAAGGATCCTTTCACAGCGCAAGTGGCATGCAAAGGATACTTTCCATTCCAGTAGGTAAATTCCCAACCCATGTACTGCAAATCCCGAACCTTTGTACATGAAATTTCCCCACCCAGTAGCTAGTAAAATTACCAATATTTTTTACAGTGTGGAAGATGCGAAAAAGATTCCCAGGGTAACAGCTGTCACACCGTCACTCAATGCCATTTCTACCGTTTCTGTTCGACAGGGAGACGAGAATCTGATGTACGGCCAAGCCCCATGGGGCCGATCAGTCGACGTGGACGCAGACGCTGTGGGGCAGACTCGCGGGGGCGGGACCCCGTGCAGGCCCACGTCCCGCGTGGGGCCCATGTCCGGCCCCCCGCCCCGGGCCGCCCCCCGGGGACCCGTCCTGGCCGCCGCCCCTGGACCCGTGCCCGCCGTGCCCAACCACAGCGGCGGGCCCGTGAGCCCGGGCCGCTACCTCGCCGGGCGCAAGGACTACGAGGACGACGAAGAGGACGACTCGGCGGCGTGCTCGTCTGTGTCCGACTGACCTGGGGGGTGCGCCGGGCAGCTGGGCCTGGCGTGTACCCGAGCCTACGACGACGACAGCGACGCGCTGGACGGCGTCCCACCAGCACCGCAGCCCCCACTCCAACAGCCGCCCATGGGCAGGAGGGGCTCTCAGGGACTCCACCGCTCCCCCGGGTCACGCGCACCCAGGGGCCAGGGCGAGGGCAGCCACTGGGGAGGTGAGCCCTACGAGGGGCAGGGCCCGCAGGGCTACCAGAGCGACGGCGGCCGGCCTGGGTATCCGGCAGAGCGCCAGCAGTCGCCCTACCAGGGCGAGCGCCCGCCCCAGAGCTACCAGGGCGACGCCAACCGGCCGCCACCCATGTACCAGGCCGAGGGCCCTCGCCAGCAGTCGCCCTACCAGGGCGAGCGCCCGCCCCAGAGCTACCAGGGCGACGCCAACCGGCCGCCACCCATGTACCAGGCCGAGGGCCCTCGGCAGCAGTCACCCTACCAACAGCCGGACGGCGGCCGACCACAGCAGGGTTACCAGGGTGACGGAGGCCGGCCGCCGCAAAGCTACCAGAGCGAGCCGGTGCGACCTCAGCCGGGGTACCCGGGAGAGGGAGGCAGGCCGCCGGCCCCGTACCAAGGCGACGGGGGCAGACCGCCGGCCCCGTACCAGGGCGACGGGGGCAGGCCGCAGCAAGGTTACCAGAGTGACGGCAGCCGACCACCACCAGTGTACCAGGCCGAACGGCCGCCGCAGACGTACCAGGGCGACGGCGGACGCCCGCAGCAACCTTACCAGGGCGACGGCGGGAGGCAGCCGCAGGGGTACCAGGGCGAAGGAGGCCGGCAGCAACAGGGGTACCAGAGCGACGGCGGCAGGCCACAGGCCTACCAGGGTGACGTAGGACGGCCGCAGCCGCCTTACCCGTCGGACGCGGGACGGGCGCAGCCTCAGTACCAGGCAGATCGGCCTCAACCAGCCTATCACGGTGGTCAGGGCTTCCGCGGGTCTCAGGGCGACGGAATACACACCAGCCAGGGCCACCAGGGGTACCAGGGAGACGTACCCCATGGCAACCAGGGCTACCGGGGACCTCCAGCCGAGCAAGGCGTCCACAGCGGTCCGGTGCATAAAGGGTACCAGGGCGACGGAGGAAGCCAGGGCTTTCGAGGGTCTCAGGGCGACGGGATTCACCAGGGTCACCAGAGTCACCAGGGCTACACACCGGAGCCACAGGGCTTCCGCGGCTCACAGGGCGAGGGCATCTACAGCAACCAGCCACAGCAGGGCTTCCGGGGCTCACAGGGCGACGGCAGTGGCTTCAGGGGGTCGCAGGGTGAGGGCGCCAGCGGCGGTCAGGGCCTGCGAGGCTCGCAAGGTGAGGGCATCCACCAGGGCGGCATGCAGCCGTCGTACGGACTGCGGGGCTCGCAGGGCGAGGGCTTGCCGGGCCCGTACGCGCTGCCAGCAGCATATGGCCAGCGAGGCTCGTACGGCGAGGGACTTCACACCGCGCAGGGCGGAGCACCGGCCCAGGGCGGACTGCGCAAGTCGCAGGGACTTCGAGGCTCACAGGGCGAGGGGCTACCGGCAGCGCAGCCACTCAGGGGCTCCCAGGGCGACTCGTACGGCTCGCAGAAACTGCACCGCTCCCAGGAGCTGCGGGGCTCTCACGGTGACGGCCTTCACCGCTCGCATCAGACTCACAGCGGCGTGGAGCGGCTGTTCTAAAAGCGACGCGTTGCGGTGCGACAAAAGCGCTCTGTGATCCAGTGCCAGCGAAAAGCGAAAAATCAAAATCTCTGTGAATAAAATGTTTTCTATTTTGACTCCGCGTTGTGCTAAATGTAGCTGGCATTCGAACTCTATTTTCAGTTATACCTACTATTTTCAAAAGAATGCCACGAATCGGTATGCTCAAAATAATTGACAACTGAAGTGACTGCTAGTTCTTTAGGCACATCGCGAATGCCTTTGTGACTCCTTCATGTGTCAACACTGAGCAGTGATGCAAACTCAAAACATGTGCCAAAGAAGAAGTTGGCTCTAGCAACTTGGCATTCTTTCTATTGTGAATTCCAGTCAATTCGGGTAGTGCCACGACTGACGACTTCCCCGGTGAGAAGAAGTCAAAAGCCCTGGAATTGAAAGTAGTGCGTGTAGAAGTTAGCACCAAAATAATAAATAAGTGGGAGATTCCCAGAGTCACTGGTGTAAATTCCATCAGGATTTCCTGATCGCAGTGCCCCGATTCCTTATCGTATCCAAGGTTTCTGATGGTTTTCTCGGTTTCTGATGGTTAGTTTCTGATCGTTCCTTCAAAACCTAATGGTATTATCTCAATTTTTTGATGGTATTTTTTCCCTGATCGTAAAATTTCTGATGGTGTGTAAACCATCAGGATAATTTCTATGTTCTGATGGTATTTTTCTGATCGTACAAACATCTTTGATGGTTATTTGACATTTTCTGATAGTTCCTTTTAATACCATCAGAAAATGATGTTTTCCTGATCGCCTCGATCAAGCAAATAATTGGCCTGACGAAACTATGTGTCGCACGGTAAAACGGCTTTGTGTGGTGTAAGAGGATCACATACTTTATCGTTTGCTTACATAAAAACAAAATCACCTTTATCACCCTGTGATTTCTAGGAGAACGGCTAAAGATAGGTCAATTTTGACACCACCATTGTGCTCAGCGCTGAAAGTTTACACGGGTGATGTAGAATCTTGGCCCTTGGGCGGCCCGCTGCTGACTTCACCGTTAAAGATGCTACCATCAAGGACATTTACCAGTAGTATACTAACCATCAGAACGCAATTACCATCAGAATTTTACCATCAGAGCCCAACCTTACTATCAAAACAATACCATCAGGCCAAAAACTATCAGGAACGTCCCATTTTCTATCAGGATTTAGACAAATAACTGATCGTACCTTTTTTGATGGTATTTTTCCTCATGGTAAATTTTCTGATGGGATTTACACCAGTGGTGTTCTCCGTGCAAAAATGTGAACTTTTAAAATATCCAAATTATTTGTGCAATCTCTTTAATCTTAATCCATTCAAAAAAATTGTTGACAGAGTTTTGCAATTTCCTATAGGCTACTTACGTAAATCCCTTCTTCAAATCCCGTCTTCAAAAATATCTTCGCGCACAATGTTAGAACACTCTGAGTCTTCTCATCTCACATTAGCTCTTCTCTGTGATCTACTGTTTACATGTAAGCAAAACTACATAATTTAACTGGTTTAGAACTTAAGAGAAAGTTTAAAATGTTCTCTTGTGCTCCTTCCGATTAAACAAAAATATTCTTTGTAGTAAGTTTATGATATATGACAGCATTCTCTGTACATACAATTTAGTCCGTGTATATACTTTTAGAAGAAAGGAGCGTTGTCTTGTTATTATTGTTTGTAAAAGTTTCCATATTTTCCTTTTGATGCCCCAGTGCCTTAAAATGATTGTAAGACATGGCATCAATATAGAGTTCTCTTCCTCTAAAGTTCTATATGCTACATTATCAACAAACTACTTTAGATACAATGTTCCAAACATGGGCACTCGACAAAAGAATGATATTTAATCTAAATAAGCTTTCAATGTTCTCCGAGCTCGCATGGTAGTTTAGTTCCTCAAACGCTCAATGACAACTTGGTTTGTGATAGATGTTTTGTTGTGATAGAATTTCTTTAGATAGAAATAAATTTCAACTGCATGCATTGATCGATAGGGCAATGCATGTGTCAAGAATTGAATCTATACTACATACTGTGTACTGTTGGGTTTTATTTTCGTAGTAACCGGCTGCGTTGCTAAATTTGTCAAATTTACATATTTGGTTTGCCTTATTTCTCAACGCATTGGGGGCATTATGCGTGCTCGCACCTTATCGCATATCGCGTAGAAGCTCCAAACAGCTCCAACGCTATTCCGTGCTCCACACCACAGCAAATTATATCACTTTGTTTATTTTTAAAGTTTGTTTTAATGTACTAATGAATTTAATGTCTTCAAGAGTAAGACTTGAACCAATGATAATCCCTTTATCAGGGTCGTCTCCCTTACTTAAATGCCTACGTTTACAACGCATTGACTGTCACTTTTTTGACTCCTGTTCTGTCATTTGTCTCCTAACTTACTATCACACAATGTTCTCATGAGATTTGTTTTGAAAACATGTGCATTTATTAAATAAATACACTCGCTCTGGAGAGGCGATGACATTCTAACAAGTCTCTTAATGAATGGATACCCACAACCTCCACCTTGGTCACAACACCCAGGAAACGACCGTCCAGTTGGGTGGGAACATGAAATTACCTGTTCGGCCAAACACAGCATTTTTCTGAATAGCTGAGAACCCTTCTAGAAAACAGAGCAACAATTTTTGTGCGCGAATATCACGAACTGTCAAGTAGGCGAGCGGAATGGGGGCGCATCTTGGAGCGCAAGGGTTGGCACCTCAACACGTCGCCCGCGAGTCCCGCAGGGAACCCCCGCGCCGCCCCGCCGCGCCGCTCCACACCACGCCACGACCCGCACGTCGCCGTAACCAACTCGAAACGACATTATTCGTCACTCGTAACGCAATCAGCGAAACATGACTCCCCCCTCCCCCTCTTTGTCCCCTTTCCTGCTCCCACGACGAGGAAACCTCGCGTCGTAGCGGCGTGTCCTGGACCAGCCGGCGCGGCGTGCGACCTGCCCGTTGCGACCTAACTCGTTTTGGGGAGGAACCTTGCGGAACGAGGCCGCAGCTGGGTTGACCCAAAGACTAAGTACGCTTCGGGAAGAAGAGAGAAGAGGAAGAGGAAAATTTCTTTTTTTCCCCTAATCCATCAACATTAAGAGTAAATCATAGTCTTCAGTGAAGAGCAGTCTCTACACCATTTCGCTTGTGCGACCCGTGCTTTCTGAACACCATCGGCAGCCTGTCAGGAGGGTCAGGCGTGTTTGTTGGGCAAGGCAAAAGGGAAATAGTGAGGAGGCGAGACAGGGTGGGTGAGTGGAGGTCGAGAGCGGGGCAGAGAGGGGTGGTGGTGGGGCGGCGGGGTTGGCGCGGCGGCTTGGTGGCGCCGAGGCGCTTGCCGAAGCGGGCTCATGGCTGGGATTAGTTCGTTCCTGACGGCTACACGGGGGCTTAGCCGGGCAGAGCGCCGCGTGGCGCGCCGGGCGTGCTCTGCCGGGCGTGCTCTGCTGCTCTGGCGGGCGTGCCCTGCAGGACGTGCGGGGGCGCGGCGGCGGGCGGAGATGGATCACGGGTGGCGCGGCGTGGCGCAGAGAAGACTCGGCATCGTCGCGGTGCTGGAAGGCGAAGGGGGGTAGGGGAGGAGGAATCGGAGACAGGGACGGGCAGAGAGACGGAGACCGGGAGTGACGAAGACTTCGCCACAAGTGCCCCGCCTGCTTGGCCACGGCGGCGCCCCTGCAGATCGAATGCACAACTTTGCAGGAGGAGTGCAAGGCAGCAGCGGGTGCTGTGACAGTGACGAGCGGACGCACCACCGCACGACCACGTCACAGCCGGTACAGGAATGAGACTTTTAATGACTTGTTAGGGCGCCAAAGCCGAGTGCAAACTTTGTCCTCCCAACGCACTCGGTAGACGCGCAGAGTACAGGCGCTCCCTGCAGTCCGCGGCGCGGCAGCAGCGCCGCCTGGAGTGGCCGATGGGTTGCCTACCCGCCGGGCGGCCACCGAGGAGCGGAGGGGACGGCTGCGAGGGAGGCGCTCGCTCGCCGTGCCAAACGGCGTGCCTCAGACGCCCCTCTTCCTTACTACTTCGCCGGCGGCGTTTCGGTCAGAAGTGAGATGCTCAAAAGCCTTCCCTCGTAAGGCGCTCGCGGAGCCAGCTGAGGTGTGGGAGAAGGAGAGAGAGAAAGAGAGAGAGGGAGGGATATGACGAGGATGTGGAGGGTGTTGCCACTAGGCATGGGCGGCCGCCGCGGGCTTCTCTCAACTTTATTTAACTTTTAAGTGTACATCTGTAGTTTCGGAAAGGTTTCTCTCCCTCGGCACTCACTGGTCGCACTGCTGCCCCCGTTCCGTTCCGTGTCGTTCCCTGCCCCTCCTCCCGGGGCGCCGTGTTGGGCGCTGCGCCAGCAGCAGTGAGGTCCTGGGCCCCGGGGGGCCGAAGGGCAGGGGGAGGGCCGCCCGGAGTTGAGGGGGAGGGAAGCAGGGGGGGGGGAAGGGGTGCAGGATGTGCTGCTGCACTGCTAGGCGGGCGGGGCGGGGTATGGGTATACCTCCCGGGAGCGCAGGGCTCAGGGCAGGGCTTCCATCCACCGGGGAGAGTGCACATCGTTTGGCCTTACAAGCAAGGGCGCTGACGGGATAAAAAGGTTAAAGTTGCCGCCCACTCCTGGACGCCCCATCCTACGAGGGGGGTAAACGAACAGCCAGGAAACGCGCGTGCGAACAGCATGCTGGCCGTTGATTGTGCGGGGGAAGGGGCAAAAAAAGGCTCGGACAAGAGGAGGTGAGCTTCTTTACCCTCCCCAGGTTGGAGATGTCGGTCGTCCCTGCAGCGGCCTCAAGGGACGCGTCGGGGGCGAGGTGGTGCGGGCGGGGTGGAGTGGGGGCTAGACATTGTTGCACGCGGCGCGAAGTGCAGCGGCAGGAGCAGCTTGATGACGTCCGCACGGCCGCGTTGGGCTGGCCTGGGTACCGCAGGCTACTCGAGAAGGCCAAGCTCGGCGACTGAACCGGGGCGCGCGGAGCTCGGCGAGGAGTCGAACGCGACCTCCAGGGCGAGGCGTGGCGTGGGCGGCGGGGGCGTGTGGCTGGCGCCGGAGCGACACGTAGCGACACTCAAAGGGGATGCACTCAAAAGTTTGCCTGCGCAGCGGGCGCGCCTCGCCGCCGCCGCAGCCGTAGTGACATCTCGCTGGGAAACGCCTCCCCCGCGTCAGGGCTGCCAGAGCGAGGGGAAGAACTCGGGCGCTGCCTCTGCAGCTGATATATCGTCAAACCGATAAACAGTTGGGGCGACTCTCAAGCAGGCGCGCCACTCGCCGAGTCAAACGTCTCCTCGGGACAGAACATAGGAGACAGTCCCAGCAGCAGCCCCGCCCCACAGCAAGGAGTGGAGGGCCACGGCCACCGTGTGGGCCGGCCGGGCCGGCTGGGCGGCCGCACAAGAAAATAACGTGCCAACACCTGTGCTGCGGCCGCGTGGTGGTGGTGGTGTTTGTTGTGGTGTTGGCAGCGCAGAGCCGCCCACGCCCAGCGCCAGCTGAGGCCTGAGAGGCCACACCGCGGGAAAATTAATGAAACCGGGGAGTGCGACTGGGGCGGCGGCAGAGAGGCCGGTAAAAACGAGAGGGGCGTGAAGTTGGTGGCCCCGACGGCGCTTTCGACCCCCCCCCCCCCCCCAACCCCGCTGCGTCGCGGTCAGCCTCCTCTTCGCCCCCACTCATAGTTTGGGCAACCCGGCCCGTGGTGCTTCCCCGATCTGTAACGCGGAGTAGAGGATACAGCGAGTGCAGCATCACCTCCTCCTCATCTTCTCCATCACCTCCTCCTCCTCTAGTCTACCACCTCCACCTCCACCTCCACCTCCTCCTCCACCTCCTCCGCCTCGGCACCGCCTTGCTGCCTTTACCTGTGAACACACCCCACCCTCCCTCACATCCAGCCCTCCTTGCACATAAATCATGCCCTAGTACGTGTGAGCAGAAG